GCCTGTCACCGCCGATACGAGGATAATGTTTCGCGCGACGGGAACCTTTTAAAAACGAGCCTCGATGGGCGAAACTCCGTTACTCGGGAATAACCCTGTCGCTAAACTTTCAGTGGGTGAAGCTGAATTATATATCGATCGATTAAATACTCGAAATAGGAAGCTAAACTGATCTCTTGCTTGAATAATTCAACCGTTCGTTTACGATGTCACATTCCATCTCCCGAAATATCGTACGCGAAGGATTAACAGGAAACTATCATTGAACCGGAAACTGATGGATATTCGATTCCTCGGATATCAAGGGACACCCTGTACAAGAATCGCGTCTGAGGAGCAGCCGGGTTTCCCGTGAAAAATCGCGACGAACGATCGAACGTCGGCCGCGAGAGAGCGTACGTCGGGGTGCGACGAGGAGGTTTTTCGACGGCCTTAATCGTCGATTCGTCGACCGACGGACACCGTTAAATTTCGATTATCGGGCAAGGGCCCCGGGGGAGGCGGAAGAGCGACAGAGCCAACAAGGAGAGCAATCAATTCCCTTTTACCGATTTACCGCGACAATGCAGCCACCCCTTTGCAGTGACGGCCGCCCCAACCCCCTGTGTCTCTCCTCCGCCCTTGCGCCGTACTTGGCCACGCGGACGACGAGGGAGAGGACGTGTCCCGGCTAGGGCCCCGCGCGCGCATTGAAAATTCTCTGTGATTCGACGGCAATTCATTAGTCCGTCGGTCGGTCGCGCGTATTTATGCAGCCGGCTCGTTACCGATCGCGGTCGTTCCGCTCCGCGCGCGGCTCGGGTTAATGCGCGCGCGTAAACGCGACATGAGTCTGATCAGCCGTGACCACGGGAGACAATGCCTCGGCCGAGTTCAGTTCTTTTTGCCCTAGCTTTTCAAAGAACCGGCAGACACGAGTCCCATGCTGCGCGACCGACCTCCATTTTTCCGACATCGTCCTCCGGTGGGAGAGCTTTTTAATCCGCACGAGGACTTCCAGGAGTCTGGAACCCTTCGAATCGTTTAACAGTTTAGTTGTTCATTTGATATATTTATTGTAACGAAGACTTGAGTGACGGATTATGAAAGTTACGCTCTTAACCCTTAGAAAATTGTTTTTAGTACACGAAACCTTTCGCGGATTCTGCTAAATTGAACGCTGAATACTTAAATCATAAAGAACAAGGAAACTGTGTACTAATTTCTTGCTGTTCGAGTAGTTGAATCGTTTATTTACAGCTTGGTATTCCAAACGTGGAAGTTTGATCTCAGCAAAATGCCGACATTCGTCCGCAAGAGTGAGATTTCGAGAAGTGTTCATATTTGAGGCATCAAGTCCCGAACGAATGATTTAATTAGTTGGACAGCAAGAGATTAGTTTCCTCTTTTTCTGTTAGCAATCGATATAGAACTTAGCTTCATCTGATGAAGGTTTTGTATATCATAAAGAATCTTCGTTCGCAAAGGGTTAATAGCTTCCTAGAACCCTAAGAAATCAAGCGCCGGCAATTCCGTAAAACTCAGAAAACTTTTCCATAGAAAGCGAAGTTGGACGTTGGTCTCTGCTAGTTTTTTGTCGGTTTTCTGCTAGAAAATCAGGGAACTATGCACCGATTTTGTACGCAACGAACTCCGAATGCAACCCGACGCGACCGATAGGTTGACCCTCGACTTCGAAGGGTCAGTTAGAGTGAATCGAGTCGACATCGTTTACGCGATGGGAAATAATGACGAGATTTCGGAACTGCAACGCGATACACGAGGGCAGACCTGTCTCGGCAATATTCGGAATCCAATTTAAAGAGGAGCTGCCGTTTCGGCCGGGAAAGAATCTCCCGCGGTGATTCCCCGATATAAAGCGGAACTTCGTTTCCCACGAGCCAGCTTCTCGCTGTCTCGTCGTTGTCCGCGGGCGTACAGTTTCTTCCCCTCGGTGGACACGACGCGAAGCCGACTGCCTGCGGCCGGTTCCGTATTTTAAGCCGCGATTTCCGCGTCGGGAAAGAATCGGGCCAGGTTATCCTCTGAATTCCGCGCAGATTGCGGTATGGGGTGGTTTTTCATTCGACTCCGTGTTCACCCTGGAATTCCAGCGGATTGTTTGGGAAACCCCTTATCGGGTCGAAAGTAAATTCGGCGCGGCGACCGGATTTTCCTCGATCTTCCGCCTCGGCTTCGTACTTTCCGCGGGACAATTTCTACGGAACACTCCCGAGACGTCCATCCGACAATGTCCGAGCGTCGGTCCGCTCGCGGACACCCGAAGATCCCCAATTAGACGCGACGCGGGGCGGCCGGAGCACGTTCTTGCGTCCAAATGTGATCCCGTTCGATGGTCGTCCGGGGGTTCGGGGTCACGTACGCGGCGTTCGAGGCTTTCCGGGGGCGAACGTCAGAGGGGACGTCCCGCGGGATGACAGAACGTTGACGCATGAATTTCCGAGCGTTCAACGCCAATAAAATTATCCCGATCGAGACGGAATTGCATTCGTTGCGAATCCATGTGTCCGCCGGCTGCAACGTTTTCGTTCTCGCCGGATGAACGGCGATCTCCGCGCCGGTAATTAACGGGCATCCTTCCATTTTCCGCGATTGCGTCGGCCTGCCTTCTCCCCGAGTTTACAGGTTCATTATTTTGATGGATCTCTTCTCGATAATTAACCGTTCGATTAATCACCCGCGTCGGCTCGGTCTCGCCGCGCCTACGGTTTATCGAGTCGATCCGCGGGATTCGAGCTCGCGGATGCCGCCGACGGCGATCCGTCTCGCGTCGTCGCGCCGCTTTTTGCCTCCGGCGCGGAAAAGCGGCGGCGAGGGCCGGGGAAAAATACGCGGGTTCGCGGGGAACGAATGCGTTTCCGCGGTGGGGCGGCGGTCGCGTAAGCAGCAATTTCTCTTCGCGCGCGTGCAGAAGACAGCCTTAACGCGCGCGGTCTATTCCGGCGCGTTCCTCGCGAAAATCGGTATCGCCGACGTCAACGTCGTCGCCGGGGAAACGCGAGCGAAATAAGGTCCGCCCGAAATAAAGCGGCCGATAAAAATCGCGCGCCGGAATAAAAGTTGGTCGCGACGATTTACCACGGGGCTGATTTTCGCCGGGAAAATTTCCGCTTGCGGTTTTCCGCCGGATTCTTTCTCTGCCCCTTCAGCCGTGCGATTCTCTCGTTTACGGGGTTTCTGTTGTCGAGCAGGGGCGCGCTCGAATCTGCGCGGCCTCGCCGCGAGTTCGATTCTCTCGCCGGATCGGAGAAATCGACGCGATCATTCGATCCGCCGAAAGGTGGTCTCTCGCGGCGGGTTCGCATTAAATTTAAACTCCGCCGAGTCTGTCCCGGGTACTCGATTATATTTCACGAGGGGTAACCCAGTAAATCGTTTCTATTTTCGAGCGGCTGCCAGACCGGCGGTTGTACATTAATTTATCGATCGCCGGCTCGGCCGACTTATCCATGAATTATCGTACTTTTAAACGAATTTTCAGCGAGTAACAGGTTGGCCGGGCCGCGGCGGCGCGTCTCTGTTCCGCCGGTCGGCGCCGAGCAACTTTTGCCGGCCGAATTTCCGAGTCTCTCCGTCAAACGAGCGCGCCCGCTGCCTCGGCCGCGGCCGATTCCCGATAAGTTCCCGTCGATATCGGGCCCCGGGTCGGCGAACTCGACGGTCGGTCCGCGAAAAGAAGTCTCGAGGCACGAAGTTCGATTAAGAGCAGCGGTCGCAGGTCGATATGCCGGCTCGTGTGCTCTCAGTTTTATGGAGTCGCCGGTTTTTACGATCGGCCCGCTCGCCGAATACGTTGTTCGCCGCGCGGAGAGACACTTCCCGGCGAATTATTTTCCTATCGTTCTCGCGTCGTTTGCCCGAGCGCCGATCGATTCTCTTCCGATCGGGCGGAGCGTCGTTCCTTTGACAATTTCGATACGAAAATCGGCCCCCCCTCCGTCACCCTCGGTTTGCCCCTTTTACAGAAACCGAACGGAGAGAGCAGCTTCCAGCGAGAGTACGGGAGTGATCCGTCTCGAAACGACTGGCCGGAATGCAATAAGAGACCGTGCGCTGCGGACGGAGAAACATCCAGTCTAGCTATGAAAATTTCTTATTGACTTTCTCTCTCTCTCTCTCTTTCTCTCTCGCGCGCGCTCTTTCTCTCCCTCTCTCTCTCTCTCTCCGTCACTTTGAGGATTCTACCGTCGGGACACACGATTCCCGGTCGACGAGAGCTTTTTTTCGAGCCGTTTCGCCCGCTCTCGTGCTCCATTTACCTCTTTCTCTCTCTTTCTCTCCGCCTCTCTCTCCCCCATTCTCTCTGCCTTTTCGTTCTTCTATTAAGCGCGGCAATTAATTCGGTGCCTTTTAAAATAATTGTACCGTCCGTGTATTCGTTCCACTCGCGGAACGCGCACGATCGTTGAACCGCTCGGTATTATTCCGATCGACCCGCGCCGCCATCTTCGAGGGAAGAATGGACCGTTCGATCGATCTCGAGGATTCACGGTGGATTTAAAGCGGCGGAGGCAGCGAATGAATTCCTACGCGTGTCTCGTCGCGGTATCTCCGCGTAGTCGCGCGAACGGGACCAGCGTCCGTTCCGATCGGCGCGGATTCGTCGCGACGCCGGGATCAAGAGAAGCCAGCAAAAGGAGAGAAAGAATGAATACACCACCTACCTGCTCGCGCGAAACAGAAAGGACGTGAAACACTGATTTTTGTTTTACCCGTCGGTCCCCGTTGTCCAGGCTCCAAATACGTTTTTCTATAAGTCCGAGAACGAGACGGCGGGGAACAGTGCGTAAGCTCGACGGGGAGTTGTGCGAACGCAAATAACTGAAGAGAGAACGATGAATACAAAAAAGAAGAAGAAGAAGAAGTAGAGAAAATAATAATAATGATAATGATAATGATGATGATAATAATAATAATAAGAAAACAAAAGGCGGTTTTGCCGAGATGGAGATGACGTTTAATCGTAAATCAATAAAATTAATGAATTAAATAAATAAATTAAAAATGTTTATACACATATTTATATATATAATATATATATATACATATGTGTACATTTATATATTATATATATACATATATAATATAATATAAAACATAAATAGGGTCTCGAGACTGCCGGAGCACAGCGCGCATCCCACATGCCCAATCCCTTCCGGTACGTTTTTTCTCGTCCGATTCGGTTCGTTCACCGGGCGGGCGGCCCCGCGACGAACGTCGAGAATTCCGAAGGAGAACGATTTCGCCGTCGCGATTGTAGAAAAACGACACACGACGAACCTCCAATTTGACGGAATAAAGTTTGCACGAGGCCCGGGGACAGGAATTGCCCGAAATAATCCGTGGAAGGATCTGTGTCCCCGGGAGAATCGGATAAATTTTCGCGGTTCGTGTTTCTAAATGCGTCCGATCGTCTCGTTCGGAAAGTTCTCGACCGACGTGCCATTTCCTAATCGTCGCGGTATTTTTGTTCGCTCTTTCTCTCCCTCTCACTCTTTCTTTCTTTCGCGCTCGCGCTCTCTCTCTCTCTCCCTCTCTCTCTGTCTCTCTCAGCTCATTCTTTCTCTCGCTCATTCTCCCTCTCTTTCTCTCTCCATCTCTCTCGCTCTCTGTCTCTCTCCACTGCCCTCCCTCGTTACTCTTCAACTATCTTAAGTCTCTGTTTTTTCAGCTAGCCTAAACGCGTATTACATTATCAGTATTATACATAAAATCGTTTTGTTGCCTAGTGGTCTCTTCTCGCAGCGGTTCGCCGCTCGCGCGTTCCCGCTGCCGAGCGAACCGCTCCGCCGCTCGAGTGTCCGATTCCCTCGGTTCGCGTCCTCCGATCTTTCCGCGTTCGCCCAAGTACATGCGAGTCGTTCCCCGATCGATCGTCGCTGGAAGCATTCCGGAGAACGCGGGGTCACCTCGCGAGGAGGATCGAAGCGCGCCGTAGAATCTTCGGAGGCCGACGACGACGACGAAGACGAGAACCGGGACGTCGTCGAGGAGACGCGCACGAATCGCGGTATTTATTCCGGCGACGCGATTGATCCGCGCGCTCGAATTGTCTCCGCGTAAAAATACGAAGCAATTTTCGGAAGGCCGGACACGCCTCGCGCCGTAATATCATCGTCGCCGGCTGGCACACCGATCCGTGTTACACTCGTGTGTGTGCGACGGCGTCGAGTATCTCTTCCCGGCGTCGTTAGGCCCGGTTTTCGCGCGACGGACGTTCCCTTTCTTGTTCGCGACTCGCGCGCGCGCAACTTTACGCTCCAACGGTGTGGCCCAGATTTCCCGACGACGAGCGACAAAAGATTCAGAGCTCCTCGCAAAACAACAACCGCGACGACGGGAAGGAGGCGTCAGGAGGAGACGGAAGACGCGGAGGCGGAGGCGGAGGACGGGGACGCGTCCCTGTTCTCGTTCGCGAAAGCCCACCGGTGGGAGACGACGCGGCGTTATCGAGATGCACGGTTTTCGGCAGATTTTCGCGACGTTCCCGCGTCGACCGGTATCTCCCACACCTGTCGGGATTATTCCCGAATTCCCGTGCACGCTGTTCGGGCGGCCGACAGACGGGAGGGCCGTCCTCTCGCCGCCTTTCGCCCCGTCGATGGAAATGGGTACACGGGAAACGCTTTCCCGCGGCCACTCGATCCATTTTCCCGGTTCCCGAGATGATCCAGCGTAGGCGTACGGTATCGGCCTAACCCTAAACGATACCACCGAGCGTTTTCGACCACTCTCACGGCGTCCTTTATCGAGAGACCCTGGGCTCTTTGGTATTGTTCTCCCTGGCGGAGACTCCGAAAAGTGCGCGACCTTCGAACGCCCTTCTGCCTGCTCTTCATTCTCTCCGTTCCTCTCTCACTCTTTGTCTGGCTTTCTCTCGCACACATACTCTCTTCTCTCTATCTCTCTCTCTCTCTCTGTGTCTCTCTCGCATCTTCATTTTTTTTCCATTTTCCTTTTTATTCACTGACGGATCGCGCGATCTTTCGAGGTCAAGCACCACTTCTGAATCACGAGCGTCACTCGAACGCTCTTCTCTCTCCCTGCCTTCCCCGATATGAAACTGAAGGGGATCGGAAGTGGCAAGAATCCGCCGTAACTCTTTTTCTTGCAACGCTCTCGAGCGCTCGCGACTGCTTTATATATATCTCTCTCTCTCTCTCTCTGTTTCTCTTTCTCTCCTTGGTCTCTCTATTCACGCATACAGACGTACTCGCGTATACACATGCATTCACGTACAGACAGGCAGGCAGTAGCAGCGACATCAGAGGCAGACGTGTACACGCACGAACGGTTTCTAGTTCGATGTCTCGCGAATAAAATTTCTATGGAGACGCGAGGCAGGTGTGTCGTAACGCGACATTTTCTAAAAGAGAAGTTAACAGGGTGTTGCTGTCGACAACGTAGAAGAAGAAGAAGAAGAAGAAGAAGAAGAAGAAGAAAAAGAAGAATTAGAAGGAACAGAAGAAGAAGAAGAAGAAATCAAGGACGAACAGACGACAAAGACGAAAAGGAAAGAAAGGTACGAATACCCGTTAGCAAAAACTGTTTCGGAACCAGATCTCCTACACGGAGGACTTCCGTTTCTAATGCCCGACGCAACACAACGGGTTCTCCGAAAGTCTGCGCAAAACGCGTTCGCTGCCCCGTTCGGTCCCCCTAACAGCGGCTCTAAAAAAACGCGTGTTCCTCCCTTGTTTCTCTCTGTTCGAAAAATCGCTGCGGTTCGCTCCGCGATCTCCCTCCGCGTTCCCCCCGTCCGCGCGGAGCGCGCGTAACGCGGCTTCGATCCCGACACGATCGACGGATATTCTGATTCGGCTCCTCGTTCGTTTGTTGGTCGCGCGCGTTGGCCCTCTCACGACATTCTTCTCGTGGGCTGATCGAGAGGCTGTCTCCTCGACCGAACTCTTAATCGAGCGCACACCCCGAGAGAAGTCTCGTTCGGTTCGTTGCGAAAAAACGAGCTCTACTCGGAATGGAAGGGCCCCGCGCGATTATCGCTAGCAGTAGTACGAGGTCGATAGTCCCAGCTTGCAGGAAAACGGCGCCCTTTGCCTGTTGTACACACTTCCGGTGCTGATGACGTCCTTCGTCTCGCACCGCTGACCCGTGAAGCCTTCCGCGCATCTGCAACAGATCAATAGCAACGCGATCAGACGATTTTTCGAACATTAATTCTAATACACTAATATATTCCGCTCGTCGTTAAAGCAAGCGTTCGATACATCTTGCGCTGATCGCTGCTAAACGCGTGCGATTCGATGAAAAAGGAATTCTCGATCGAAGCGACTACTCGCCGCGACTCTTGCGTTGTCCCGGCGTTCCGGGGAATCGTTTAACTGTAAACATGGAATTCATGCGTATTTTTCCGCACAAGTTCCCGGTGATCTCTGGGTTTACGATCGCGCGAGCTTATGCGAATAAACGCGTCACGACCGTTGCTTATCCGTGACAATTATTTCTCATCGTTCCATTCGAGAGCGAGGAGCGGGACCGTGAATCGTTCGCGGAACGTTTCTTTCTTTTTCTTTTTCTTTTCCTCGCGATTCCCCGTTGAATTTCGTGGCGCGAGAAGAAACGGGACGAGACGGCCGAGTCGCGAGCGGACGCGGGGCGGCGAGGGGCGGCGGCCGGAGATTCCCTCGGGCTCGAGACACAGCCCGATGTGTCCACGACGTTTCTTTGGAAAAATAATGTTATGCCGACGTCGTCGTATTTATAGCACGGTTAACTAACCGCGACGAGACGTACGAATGCTGTTGGTAGACGTGTCGTTTGCGGCACTCGCGTGTTCGCAGCCCAGAACCGGAGAGAGCGCGCGCCGTCCGCGACAGAATCAGAGATGCCCGGGCGACGACGCTAAACGATTTTACGCGAGTTCTTTCCGTAATTGCGTTTTTCTCGCCTAATGAACACGTCGCTGGGCCCATAAGAGCCGGTGTCGCGTTCACGGTAACGCGCTCAGTCACTTAGGGACGCGTTCTAACACGACGATTCCGCGCCGGACGAGCCAATGATTACACGGAATAAGGCTGTAACTTTTTACCGCCGCGTCCGCGTCCTTGTTTTTCACGGTGAGACCGGTCCGCTCGCGTCGTTCCTTTTCGAAACATTAAAATAGCGGCTCTATTATCGGAGTGCATCAAGAGGCGAGTGGCGGCGATCCGATTTTCGTTGGGCCGGAGGATCGCATCCGGGTCGCCGAAGTATTTTGAACTTGGAAACGGTCACGCCGGGAAATGTCGTAGAAAAGTAGACCTCCACCGGAATAACTTTTCACAAATGAATCCTGAATAATTATCGACCCGTTTCTTAACACCGTCGCAAGCTCAATGGTCTCACAAGAGAGACGGACTTCGTGATTCGCGACGAATCTCTCCGATGCGCTCCGATACACGGGCTCGGTATCACGCATATTTTCGTCCGGATCCCGTCGCTTTTTATTTCGTCGGATCGCAGACGGGTATAGGTAAGATTTCTCTCGCGAACCGTTCCAGAAGCGTCTGCCGAACGAAGGGCGGGGATGGGAGAGAAGAGGCGGCGGAGGAACGGAACGGAAGGAGAGGAAGACACGGGAGGAAGGAAGCTCCGAGCGGAGAACGGAATCGAGCGAGGGAAAGACGCCGCTTCGAGGGACCTGTCCGACGGGAGTTTGTCGCGCGTCCAGGCCCGTTTAAACTGTATTAAAAAACTGACAGGGGACATATGCTCGGTCGCTCGTTAACGCGATAAATACTCGCGCGAGCTGGCCGCCGGGCATTATTTATCCGGCGCGGGCGAACGGCCACGGGGAATCGCGTTTTGCAACAAATTCCGTCGTCGGCGCTCGCGCGCGATTTTTACGATCGCCCAACGCGACATCGGCGACGCAACGCGACGCGACGCGACGCGACGCGCAGCGCTCTTGTCTCTGTCCCTCCCCTTTCTTCCCGCGACAGGCCCCCTTTTTTCCCTCCCCACGGTTCGAGCGGCACCCTCGCGGATTTACGAGGAGCCACGCACTAAATATACCACCGCCGCGTACGATTTACCGTCGGACAAACCTGAAACCGCACCCGGAGATACTGCAATTTACTGTACCATTCACTTGAACCCATTAACGCTCGCCGGTAACTTCGCCCTGCGACCGCGTAATTGGCTTTCCATTGAGATTTATCGTAATCACGCGTGTTTACTAGGCGCACGGACTCTTTCACGCGCGAGCGTCCGCGACTCGCGCGGATCCGAACCGGCCAACGAGGCCGGCCCTCTATTTCGCACGAATATCGCCGTCAGAAAAACCGTCGCCCTGTGAACGTTTCAGAGAGCAGTCCGTGCTCCACGCTCGCCGGCCGTGTACAGGGCGGACCGAATTGATTTTGTGAAGTCATTTCGCCGGGAAACGAAACCGGGTTTACGAGGAAACGTTATTTTATCGGTCGGTCTTCCTTTCGACCGCCGCAAATGACCAGGGCTTTTTCACCGCGAGTTTCGACAGAAATTTTCGGAAAACACACGGCGAATCCAATATGGACGTGTGCATCGCGAAGGGTACCGCTGAGAAATTAATACAAGTATATCGTGACTGTCTTAGGTAACCCTTTGCACTCGACGATATTTTTCGTGAGAAATATTCGCTACTTTCTGACTAAATATTAACGATATTTCTCGCGACAAAAGAGGGGACTATTTTACCTCGACGTTTCATGTGTTGACACATTGCACAAGATTTAATATTGAATTGAAAATTTTATAAGTTTTAATTTTAAAAGGTTAACAAACATTCTACTTTCAGGAATAGCATCCTTTTTACAGAAATCAAATCGGTAAATTTGTTCAGAGGTCATTCACCTTCTGCTTCGTTCTATGGAATCGCACTTGTTTTTTCGAAGTCTGGAAAGCATTTCAAGTGAAACTGATTAACTCCTATATTTCCGTATTCTCATAGACGAGTACTCGATCCAGAAATAAAATTGCCGCCAGCTTGATGTTCATTTCCGAAGTTTCGGTTCCAGAGGCTCGGCAGCGGCGCGCGTCGCGGCTGGCCGCCGCGAGTGATTTACGCGGTCCACCCTGTATACACTTATTCGACAATTTGTTGGGAAATTAATTCGAAATTTCGACGGTCGGTCTGTCGGGTTTGCGCTCCGTATAAAGCGGCGGCGCGTCCGCGCGGGCAAAATCAACGAAATAATTCGGGGGATAGGTCAACACGGTTGTTAATTAATATTTTCGAGCGGTCCGCTCGTATCGGGCACGCTGTAAACAAAAAACGCGTTCCGCGGGGAGAGATACCGGTCGCTGTCCAACCGGCGGTCGTTAAAATCTGATCTTTCCGGCTGACAGGTTTTACGGTGCCGCGCGATTCCTCGGTTGAGCGTAAAGCTCGCGATACCGTTTCCACGCGTATATGCGCGGACGCCGGCCATCGCGAGTTCGTGACGAGTACGTCATAGGTGCGTGCTGGAATATTTATACGTCGATATCTCGCCCTGTAAAAAAACAGTAAATTAAAGTAGCTCGTTAATCCGGCCTCGTAAAACCCTGAGATCGTTCGCGTCGAGCGCGCGGCCCGATCGTTCGTAACGCCCTAACATTTCGCGTCGCGCCGATTCGTCCGGGAAACCGTTCCCGAAGATATTTCATTTCCACGGATCGTTCGCGGGGAAATCCTGCCGCTCGCTCGCCTCTTTCGCGGCGAAAGTGGCCGTCGAAAACGAGCCGGTCGGAACGATATCAGGCCAATTTCATGTGTCGCTCGATCCCTCGCTCGATCGCACTCCTCTCGGTACCAGTTCGGCTATTGTTTTCGCTCTTTGACAGTTCCAGGGACTCGGTCGCTTCCGCGCGCGTTTCCCCGCCCCTGTCCCTCCAGGGCCGCCGGTCGACATCGAAACCCTTTTGCGACGGTCGCAGCCGTAGTCGACGGAGTCGCCGAAAGTGTCAAACTTCCGAGGAATAAAAAAGTTCGAGTGGCGAGTATCAAAGCGGACTCTTTGCGCGAGTCAATCGCTTTAAGGACGTCCTTTATTACGGGGAAAATTGCGTCGCGAACTTCCTCCCCCCGGAAAAGTCGTTCGACTTTCGACTCTTCTCAACCCTCCCTCCCGCTCCTCCCGCCCCTACTAGTTTCCCCCTTTGTTTTCCGGCAACGGCGCGGCGCATAAATTCGCGAGAACTTTTCCCTGCCGGCTAATTAGCAGGAACAAGAGGGAAGACGTTTGCGATCCGAAGAAATCGGGAGGGAGCGAAGGGCCCCGGGTCGGCGTTCCGACTTTTATTAAGAAGATTCGACGTTTTATCGGGGGACATAATTAGCGATCGCCGGTTCCCGCGGACGTAAGAGCCTTGGCGAACTAATCTCGCGTTAATGACGGTCCGGGGGTTCTTTGAAAATTCCGCCGTTAACGAGAAAGAGGTAAAAAGGGAGAGAAAGAAAAAAAAGAATCAGAGGAAAGGGTTGTTTTCGACGAGTCCCGGGATAAAAAAGACCAAGCCAGAGAACAGTCGGAGGGACGTTCGCGTTTCCGAGTGCGAGCAGTTCCCCGGCGGTGGTCTGTGGCCGGAAGTCTTAAGCCACAGTGGCGGAGGCCGGTCGTCGCAGCGGAGGCAGCGAGCACCGCTGGTCTTCGTATATTACGATCGCAAAATTAAAAGTGCCTCTCTTTCCGCGCGGCCTGCTAGTCTACCGGGAGTGGTTAGAAAGTCGATGTCGGCGGCGGCTCGTCCGTGCATGTCCGCCGGCGTGCACGCGTGTACGTGTGCACGCGCGCGTGTGCGCCAGTCAGAAATAGGAAGGGATGAAAGAGGCGTGCGCGCAGGGCGGTGGTTTTCCTCGGGTATTAATTCCCATATATGCCGGGAGCGAGGGCTCGGGGTCTGTAACTGCGCCAGTGCCGTAGCTAGGTACCGGCGTGTACGCGGTCGCCGGCACGAAAGAAACTTTTTTGCGGTTTACTTAATTTAATAACGCTCCCGCGGAACGCAATTTCAAAGATAACGCTCTAAGGGTCGGCGGACGGGGCGGCGGAGGCGCATCAACCCTTCCTTCTCTGCCTCGAATCTCCGGTATTCCTCTGTTCGGTCGGCTTTCTCCCTCTCTCTCTCTCCGTCCGCCTCGTTCCGTCACCATTTTTATCACCTATGGT